CCAGAAAAAAAATGAATTCAATTTTCGATTGTTGGTAAATAGAACAGATTACATTGTTTTATTTTCCTAAAATAAAACAATGTGATCATCATTTTGTTGAATGATGATCATAAACGTTCTGAATCAACCTGGAGTATGAATAATTATGGACTTAACTGTTGCTAGACCTTGGGAGCTCGCCAAAGATGCATCTCCCTAAGTTTGAAGAATTAACAGTAAATGTCTGTAAGATGTTGAACATTGAGATGTTTTACTGTTTTGCTCAATTGTAATGCAATAATTTCTGTAAATATCCTTTTGGTGTTGGTAGTTGTCGTTTCGCATATTTTTTAAATACTTTTTCTTTTAACTCTGGTTTGAGCTCACAGCAGCAAGAGAATATGCTTTATTCCAAAAATGTCTTTTTAACGTTATGAGCTCAGAAAGCAAAATATCAGTTTATTGTCCGCTAAGGGAAATTTTTCTTGAAGCAAGGTGATAAAAAGATAATTTAAACACACACAGAAACAATCACACAACAACACTGCAAAATAGAAACAGTTCTAAGAAACATCAGTTCTGATATGAATAAAACAGACTAAACAACAATTAGTGTGTCAACACTCTAATTGTCCAGAAAACAGAAGTGGTTTTGAAATATTATTTATCTGCTTAAACACAGGAAACTTATGGTAGGTAAAATTTTTCAAAATAAAAATCAGATCATACTTCATTTCAATTTGTGACCAGAAAAAAGCTCGTCTCTTAGCAAGAGCTTAACAAATACTGTTATTTTTGGAAAAAAACATAATTTTGCCGCTCTTTTGAAGTGTTGAGACACTCCATTGATTAATAAAACATAAGAGTTTTGGAAAGAGACAAGAAACTTAAAGAAGGTAAATTTTATAAAAATAAAACTCAGGTCTTTACTTCATTTCAATTCGATACTAGAAAAAAAAGCTCGTCTCTTAACAACAGCTTAACAAATCTTGTTATTTTTGGAAAAAAAACATAATAATTCTGCCAATCTTTTGAAGTGTGTCAACACTCATTAGATTAATGAAACATAAGTGTTGTTGAAATATTATTCATCTACTTAGACACAAGAAACTTGTAGTAGGTAAATGTTATAAAAATAAAAATCAGGTCATTACTTCGTTTCAATTTGTTACCAGAAAAAAAGATTGTGTCTCAGCAACAGCTTAACAAATATTATTTTTGGGAAAAAAACAGTAATTCTGCCTCTCTTTTTAAAGTGTCTCAACACTCTAATTGTTCATAAAACATAAGTGTTTTTCAAAAGAGATAAGAAACTTAAAGTAGGTATAACCAGGTGAAAAAATGGGTACCTGTCAAATGTATTTTTAAAGGCATGTTTTTGTTTCACCGACTGGTTGTTATTCTTGTTTTTGCCAGCATGTGGTGCTGTTGTTACAGAGAGGTCTAAAATGACCGGAAATAAAAAAAAAGAACTCATTCATGTATCGTGGCACTAAAATCCAAACAGAAGAGAAGGACATTTTGTGCACCGAGACCGGTTGGAGGAAGGTGACTATATGGCCACCTGACCAGAAGATCCGAGTTCTCGAATTGCCACTGCCGTTTGTTTTACCCGTTGTTAGAGTTTAGCTCTGTGAAGCTACGGCCGCCATTTTCACTGAAGCTAACCGTTGATTGAATACGGGTCATGTTTTTTCAGCATATATATATATATATATATATATATATATATAATATATATATATATATATATATATATATATATATATATATACACATCTGAGCAATAGAGGCCCAGATCTACCACACCAGACAAGACCCAAGGTGTAGGTTGTGCAAGGAGGCCCCTGAGACAGTCCAGCACATCACAGCAGGGTGCAAGATACTGGCAGGGAAAGCGTACATGGAACGACATAACCAAGTGGCAGGCATAGTGTACAGAAACATCTGTGCAGAATATGGACTGGAAACCCCGAGATCAAAGTGGGAAACACCCCCAAAGGTGGTGGAGAACGCCAGAGCTAAGATCCTGTTGGACTTCCAGATCCAGACAGACAGAATGGTAATGGTGAACCAACCAGACATTGTCGTAGTGGATAAATAACAGAGGAAAGCCGTTGTGGTAGATGTAGCAATACCAAGTGATTGCAACATCAGGAAAAAGGAGCACGAGAAACTGGAGAAATACCAGGGCCTCAGGGAAGAACTGGAGAGGGCCTGGAAGGTGAAGACCACAGTGGTGCCTGTGGTCATCGGGGCCCTCGGGGCAGTAACCCCCAAACTGGAGCAGTGGCTACAACAGATCCCAGGAACAACATCAGACATCTCAGTCCAGAAATGTGCAGTCCTTGGCACAGCCAAGATACTGCGCAGGACCCTCAAGCTCCCAGGCCTCTGGTAGAGGACCCGAGCTCAGAGGATAAGAACCACCCGCGGTGGGTGAGAAGGGAATTTTATTTTTTTATATATCTGCATTTGAGAGAGAGAAAACTATTCTTCTATATTCTATTTTTTTAAGCTCTGTGTGCATCATTACTCCTGGCTTCATAGGTAAATTTTATAAAAATAAAACTCAGATCTTTAGTTCGTTCAATTCGTTGCAAGAAAAAAAGCTCGTCTCTTAGCAACAGCTTAACAAATATTATTTTTTGAAAAAAACATAGTAATTCTGCCGTTTTTTTAAAGTGTATCAACACTCTTAATTTTTCATAAAACAGAAGTGTCGTTGAAATATCATTTATCTACTTAGACACAAGAAACCTAAAGTTAGTAAATTTTCTAAAAATAAAAATCAGGTCTTTATTTCGTTTCAATTCGTGACCAGAAAACAAGCTTATGTCTAAGAAGCAGCTGAACGAACAGCTATTGTTATTTTTGGAAAAAAACATAGTAATTCTGCCGCTCCTTTGAAATGTGTCAACACTCTATTGATTCTTAAAAGTATAAGTGTCTTTGAAAGACACAAGAAACTTGTAGTAGGTACATTTTCTAAAAATAAAAATAAGATCTTTACTTTGTTTCAATTCGTTACCAGAAAAGAGCATCTCTCTTGGCAACAGCTTAACAAACTGTTTTTGAAATATTATTGATTACTTAGACACAAGAAATGTATAGTAGATAAATTTGATAAATTTGACAAAAAATATTTTTTAAAAGAACATAGTAATTCTGCCTGTCTTGGAGTGTCTCAACACTACATTGTTTCATAAAACATAAGTGTTGTTGAAAGATTATTTATCTACTTAGACACAAGAAACTTATAATAGGTAAATCTTATAAAAATAAAACTCAGGTCTTTGGTTCGTTTCAATTCGTTCCAAGAAAGAAAGCTCGTCTCTTAGCAACAGCTTAACAAACATTGTTGTTTTTGAAAAACAGTTATTCTACCCCTGTTTTGAAATGTCTCAAACTCTAATTGTTCATAAGACATAAGAGTTTTCCAAAGAGATAAGAAACTTAAAGTAGGTCAATTTTATAAAAATAAAACTCACGTCTTTTGGTCGTTTCAATTCGTTACCAGAAAAAAAAGATTGTGTCTTAGCAACAGCTCAACAAATCTAATTTTTGAAAAAAAAAAAAAAAAAACAACAGCAATTCTTCCAATCTTTTGAACTGTCTCAACACTCTGTTTGATTAATAAAACATAAGTGGTTCTGAAATATTCATTTATCTACTTAACACAAGACACTTGGAGTTGGTAAATTTATAAAAATAAGATCTTTACTTTGTTTCAACAAGAAAAACAGCAGCTAAACAAATATTGACCCAAAAACATAGTAATTCTGACGGTCTTTTGAAAGTTTGTCAACACTAATTGTTCATAAAACATCAGTGTTTTTGTAAGAGACAAGAAACTTATGGTATGTAAATTTGATAAAAAAAAAATAAAAAAACCCACTTATCTCTTTAATTCATTTCGATTCATTACAAGAAAACAAGCTTGTCTTTTAGCAACAGCTTAACAAATATTGTTTTTAGAAAACAGAAATTCTGCCACTCTTTAAGTGTCTCAACACTTCATTGATTAAAATAATATTTAAATAAAATTAATATTTAAATAATCTTTATTACCCCTACTCTTTATTAAGGACAGTGCACATTAATGAACAATCAACACTACTGTATAGACTGTAAATGGGCCAGATTGTAGCATAATTGCTAATTTACATCTGTAGTTCTAGACAAGGAGACCCAAACAACAAAAAGACATTACAAACATACAATCAAGAATTAACAAACATTCACAAAAAAACACAGTAAAAAGTTAGTTAGGTTTTTTTGAAATATTATTTATCTATTTAGATATAAGAAACATGTAGGTAAATTTTATAAAAATCAAAATCAGATCTTTAGTTTGTTTCGTTACCAGAAAAACAGGGCTCAACAGGTGTTGACACCTCAACATATATTGTTGTTTTGAAAAAACGTAGTAATTCGGCCGTTGAAGAGTCTCAACTCTTAAGTGTTTTAACAACAATTTGAGGAAGAGAGTAACGTGGCACCCTTTCAACTTGGCGTTCCCCATTGAACAGCCACAGAATACATAGCTCTCTGATCTCGGCCGGGGGGCTCCAGGGAATGGCTCCCAGGGTTGGGCACTGTCCCAAGGAGTCCCCAGGAAAGGCCCAGTCCGGTGCCAGTCACCTGGCACCCTTGCAACTGACCAAGCCCCAGTGAGCATCGCTCTGGGTAAACGATTCCCAGACCCTGGATCTCGTCCAGGGACCACCGACTTACCTTCTGCCACCTAACCCTTACCCTAAACCTTACAGTTTTAGTGCATCCAATGCCTGCATGGAACTTGGCTGGATCCCCTGGTTCTAGAGACTCTGAAGGGGTCCCTTCAGAGTCCCCTGGTATCCCTTCAGAGTCCCTGGTATCCCTTCAGAGTCCCTTTAACTCTGCAAGTTGAGCCTCCTGTGATGGTCGAGAGGTTTAGTCTCAATAAAGAAAATAGTAGTCTGCAAGGATTGTACACAGAGTCTCAATCAAGATTCAATAATTTATTACAAAAACAGCTGGTTAAAAAAAGGAGGCATAGACAGTTCCTGACAAGAAATCAATACACAAGTTTGTGAGAGATTCTTAACTGGCCCAAAACGGGGAAAAGGAGGCGCGGTCCTCTACTGTTTCCAGTAGAGGTCCGACCGATCCTCCGGTTCCCAGCGAACCTCCAGCGGCGACCTAGCAGTCCCCACTCCTACAGTTGGCCGCCAGATCAGCAGCACTCCTTGGGGCCAGTCCTCCATCTCCAGATTAAATCTGAGAGAGAGTCTTAGCTGGCCCAACAACAAGGGAGGGGAAAGGGATGTAGTCCTCTGCTGCTCCCAGGCCGACCGATCCTCCGGTTCCCAACAGACCTCCAGCTGCGATCCCGCAATTCCCGCTCTTCCAGCTGGGCTCCAGCTCCTCTGCGGCGTCCAGATCAGCAGTACTCCTTTTGGGCCAGTCCTCCATCTCCAAACCTCCAGTCCACCTCCGTCCTCCTACAACCGACGTCTGTAGCCCACCTGGTCCATCTGCCCGTCCAGCTGCAGCCGTCTCACCTGGCCGTCTTCTCCAGCCGTGTTGTACCAATCAAAACATGCAACACAACAACCCAACATTTAAACCAAAATAATCTAGGAAACTAACTAACTTCAAAATACACAGTCCAAACAATATAAGAATCATAAATTAACTCAAAAGAAAAACAAGATCACCTTGCCACACTCCAGGTCCTCATTTTTTTCTGTGGCCATTTCTCAACAAAGAAATCACAGACAAGCAATGTTAGATAAACTGCATTAATCTAACATCCACATAATATCTTGAAGCAACTCACATACCTGTTCAAAACAGAAATAACCCAGTACAGCAGTCTGGGCTCTGGCTTTCCCTCACACACCTTAAACGATCAAAGAGCAAAAATAACCAAGTTGTTTCGGTAAATTCAACAAATGTCGCTGTGGTGGGAATTAAATACCCAATACAGTGCTGCACCTACATAAAACAATTGAAAAGCAATATATAAGGACTTGTAAAGTTAGCATACATGCTTTTTTTTAGAATATTTTCATACACAAACTGATGACAGCTCTATATACTCACCTCTCCCCAGCGCAGCTCGGCGCGAACTGAGTAGAATAGCGCGAACACACAGGAAACAAGAAAATAAAAGCTTCTCTACCAAAATAAAATTACAACTCGAAAACCAAGAAAAACAACTATACATAGATAATAAATATGGATTTGGGATGAAATATCAACAACTTCTTTTTTTTTTTGCATACTTGATTTTCATCCCAACATTTTGTGTTACGGTGATGAAATGATTTTTTGCATTAAAATAAAACAATTTGTCAAAAATGCCTATTTTTGTTTAAATCTGTCCGTCTGTGCACACTGAAGTTCTTGAAAAAATGTGGGGTAAAAAAGAAAAAAGGTTTTGTGGTTTCTTCATGGAAATTGTGTTTCGGTAAAGAATTTATATGAGTAAAATGTTTAAAAATACCTACAAAATGTGAATATAAATTGTAATTTTGCAGTGAAAAGTTAAATTAGGCTGTATTTCATGAAGAGTGAGTGTTTTTGTGTGTGCATAATGTTTCTTAGAATTTTTGCTGCGGGTTGGACCATGTTTATGATTTTGGGGTTGACTGTCCCGAGGGCCCCAATGACCACGGCCACCACTGTGGTCTTTACCTTCCAGACCCTCTCCAGTTCCTCCGTGAGACCCTGGTATTTCTCCAATATCTATCTATCTATCTATCTATCTATCTATCTATCTATCTATCTATCTATCTATCTATCTATCTATCTATCTATCTATCTATCTATCTATCTATCTATCTATCTATCTATCTATCTATCTATCTATCTATCTATCTATCTATCTATCTATCTATCTATCTATCTATCTATCTATCTATCTATCTATCTACTATCTATCTATCTATCTATCTATCTATCTATCTATCTATCTATCTATAAGGAATAGGGCCTTATTCCATATTGTATTGATTTAATTTTATTGGCTGCACAGTGGCGCAGTGGGTAGCGCTGTTTCCTTGCAGCAAGACGGTCCTGTGTTCGATTCCCGGCCCGGGGTCTTTCTGCAGGGAGTTTGCATGTTCTCCCTGTGCATGCTGGGTTCTCTCCTGGTTCTCCGGCTTCCTCCCACAGTCCAAAAACATGACTGTCAGGTTAATTGTTCTTTCCAAATTCTCCTTAGGTGTCAGTGTGTGTGTGCATGCTTGTTGTCCTGTTTGTCTTTGTGTTGCCCTGCGACAGACTGGCGACCTGTCCAGGGTGGACCCCACCTCTTGCCCGGGACGCAGCGGAAGATAGGCGCCAGCACCTCCCGACCCCGATAGGGAGAAGGGTGCTCAGAAAATGGATGGATCGATGGATGGATGTTCTGTGTTTGTATGTGCTTACATTAGTTTTTTCTGTCTTAGTCTCTCGTTGTTACGGAGCCCCCTAGGGGACATGGGGATTTTTTTCTTTTGCGTCCCCTCGCAAAACTTTTGTGTTCCCTCTCAAAATGAAAAAGTTTGAGGCAGCGTTCCGGAACAAGACGAAGATGACAGTGGAGCAGACAGTACACTCGTGTGTGAGTTTTGTGAATTTTTATTTTGAAATTGGCCTGCAATATAAGAATATTCAGTCTCTGCTTGCCAAAAAGCATGGGTGTCACAACAGTATGCGACATTTGAAAAGAATACTTAGTGCACGAGGACACACTCGTCGCTACTATTTTGCTAACTTGGCAAGTCTGGTGGAATTCGTCAGGAGAGAACTTCAGTCCTCTGGACAGCTTCACGAATATCGTTGGATGTATGCCAAATGCAGGCAACATGGACTTTGTGTAAGGAAGGAGGATGTCCGTCTGATCATGAGAGAATTAGATCCAGCAGGAGTGTCCTCAAAACAAGCCAGACGTCTTCAAAGAAGAAACTACTTCTCAAAGGGTCCGAACTTTATTTGGCACATTGACTCTTATGATAAACTGAAGCCATTTGGCTTTGTATTACGAAGCATCGGTGGATTTTCACGAAAGATTATCTGGCTCAATGCATACACCACAAATAGTGATCCCAAGTTGGTAGGAGGGTATTACACTGAAGCAGTAAAGCGTTTGGGAGGGTGACCGAGAGTTGTTAGAGGGGATTGGTACAGAAAATGTTTATGTCAGAGACTTCCAGAGATTCCTCATTCCCACTCAGCCCAACGACCCTCTTGAAAGTTACCTCAAAGGAGCAAGCACTGCAAATCAAAGGATTCAATATTGGTGGCGCTTTCTGCGCGTGGAGTGTATGGAGTTGTTCGTACAATACTTGAATGTCAAGCGAACGCTCAATTTTGTGACGTAGGTGCATACTTTTATCACACTGAAAATTGGAAATAACGCACGACGGTGGCACACCCATAAACGAAAGTGATATGTTTCTACAAAGAGAAGTAGATGTCTTTGTGTTTATATGTGGTAAATTATAATATCATGAAACAAAGCGATTCTCCAGTTGTTCTTTCGTGGTCGCTGTTCACACATCTGTGGTGCTGAAAATGCACTGGTTACTTTTTCTACCTTAATGTCATAACACGAAAGAGCAGGTTACTTGCTGTTATAGTGTGAGATTTTACACTACAGCAGCAACAAGGGATCATTTTGACAGCTGCATTTAAACCTCTATTATAATGAAGATACATTCAATTTCATTGGCTATTTTTTAAAACCAAATCAAAAGTGAACGAATTTTAACCCAATAGCAGGCGTTTAAATATGCATTAAGTTTCTAACTGTGTCAAAAGTCAAAACTGTTACAAGATACCAAAGTAATCTTTAAAATCAATTCATCTAAGAAATGTCACAATGTATTTCTATAACTCGGTAACAACTGTAATTGTATGAATGACAGTTCTAAACAGCAAGTCTGAAAGTACTTTATAGGAGCTGTTTCTCCTTTCTTAGTTAAATCTTATTTAGATTTAGTTAATTTTTATTTCTTCCTTATTTTCTAGTTGATTTATAATTAAAATTTTTGTTCAGTTATTTAAAATAAGTTTGCTGGTTCATTTAAGTTAATTAATTAAATTTTGGGACGTGGGTGTTACACAGTACAGATTTGAACTAGCACATTATGCATGTGGGTGGTCAAAAGGTTTTTTACCAGTCTATTCAGTTAGTCATCAGTCAGTCTATCCAATCGGTCAGCCAGTTCATAAAAACAACAGGTGTAGGAATCAGACTGAAAGAAGTAGTGGAATTCTGTGAGGCCTGTTACTTGTTTTGTCTGAATAGTGGAATAAAACAAAGAACTGCATTTTGACCTTTTGTAGAATCCATGATGCACCATTTGCACTATTTGAGTTGAATTCACCTTTTAGTCTTACGTTTTGTTACTTTTGAATTTGAGTTTTGGACAAATAGTCAGTACAACCTAAATAAACATTATTTTGTAATTATGACATAAAACAGTGACTATGCCTAATCCTTTTTTATAGCTGAGGTTAACAAAAATGTACTCAATTTTTCTGTTTTATGTTACAGGATGAGCTGGATGACACAGCACAACTATGGAATACACACCACATCAGGCCATCTAAAAACTTGCACGTTCCCAGCGGTCGGCCCAATGTGATGTATGCCCTACCTGAACTGTACAGAACTACAGACTTCCTCACTCCTTTTGAAGTAGAACAGATTCAACTGTGTAGAGATGCATGCACTTTTCGGCAGACCATACCATGTGATTCTGCTGTGTATGACATTTGCAATGTTTAATGGCAGAATATGGTCTAATGACACCATCAGATCCATATGATTCTGTGAAACTGTACATGTTACTGAGAGATGCCATTAGAGGATTACTGTGAGTATTGACTGGAAAGAGCCTGCCATGTTAGGGTTCCACATGTCTCAAAACGGAGCTGCTTGTTTTCGATTATGAGACATTAACATGCATTCTAACTGTTAAACTTGATAAATAATCTGACTCTTTTTTTTCCCTTTCTAAAGTATTAAAATAGAAGCAGAAAACTAAATGTCCCTCTTACAACATTAATCCATCTAAGTGCTGATTTATTTTGCTAAGTGCAAAAGTCAACATGCACAACACACAGCTGTGGATAAATGTTTACGCAAATTGCATATTTGCGTAAACATTTATTGTGAACATTCACAGGAAATCCAAACATGTATCAAAAATAAAAACTTTGCAAGACAATTACTTCATGTTTAAGTTTACCTAAAAACATTTTGGCACCACCAAAACAATAAAACAGGTCACCAGAAAACCAAGGTTGGCGGATGTTACAAACACTCTGAATTTTGTTGTATTTTAAGTATTGTTGTGTTTACTTCATTTCCATTATCCAACCATCAAAATAAACTTTCTGTTGAATTTCTAAACATACTTTGATAAAGATGAAAATACATCAATTTCACTGCTGGAATACTATCAGGAACTATTAGATAAAATGGCCAAAATTACAAGAACTGTGAATTCTTATCCCTTTAATTCCTAAAAACACTCTTTCACATTTAGAAAATTCTACAAGAAACAATGTTTTTAAACCAGCGTTATGTTATGTTCTCAACATTGTGCATATCAACAAATGAAAGGGTAAAGAATGAATGTATTTTGATCAATTAGTCAAACTCCAAATTTGGTTCTATTACAAGTTTTTTCCTGCAAACACATGTGCTATTAAAATATCTTGATGAAATTTCAGCTGCGTGACAGAACTTTATTAAAACAAATATGAAAACTAACTACTGGTCTAATTGCAACTGGCGGTTATTAAATTCTGGAAACTATACAAAATTGGAAATTGTTTACCCTTTGGGTTTTCAAGCAAAAACACAAACCTTTCAACATTGCACAGCTTTTAAGCATTGAAAAT